GGGAGACCTGAAAAGGGGGTAGCATTTTAAATGTAAAGAAATATCCAATAAAATTTTTAAAAAATTAAAAGAAAAAATATGGGCTGGGGCTTAGGCACTACAAACTGGGAGAACTGGGCACGCTGGGATTTTGGAACAGGAAGCCCGAACAAGCTTCCTACTTCATTTGATTTGAATTATTTGCTCTGAGTTGACTTTTGAAATCACACATTTTCAGGGCTGGAGAGATGGCTCAGTGGCTAGGAGCACTGGCTGCTCAGTGCCCACTGGGCAGCCTGAAACTAGATGCAACCCTGGTTCCCTCTGGCCTCCTCAGTCAGTGCACGCATGTGAGACACATACAGGCAAAACAATCATACACTTGAAACTTTAAAAATATTTTTTAAAGAAGATCATTCATTTTCAAGGCCACAGAGCTGAGCAATGTGTGTTTTCCCATTAGCTTTACTTAAAAAAAAACAAAACAAAAAAAAAAACCTCTAGCCAGGTATGGTGGCACACACCTTTGATGCCAGCAATTACAAAACAAGAGGCAGAAGGATCGCTGGAAGTTCAAGGCCAGTCTGGCATACATAACACATTCCAGGACAGCCAGAGATATGTAACAGAAAGACCCCATGTCTCTTTAAAAAAATAAAATATAGCAAAACCAAAACACTTCTGCTGTGTTGGTCATCATGATAACAGTTGCCTAGTTACAGAGGCCATTTTTGCAGAAGCCATCAACTCCTCACTTGGGCCTGTACAGGTGTCACCTTCTGACATTCCAAGGCCAAACACCAGCCTCAAATTACAGCAATGCAGCCATTTTGTGAACATGCACCTTATGAAAAGACATGTGCTACCTTTGATCCCAATACTGAGGAAGCTCAGGCAGGGGGATCTCTGTGAGTTTAGAGCTAGCCTGTTCTAAAGGGTAAGTTCCAGGCCTTACTAGGGCTACATAGTAAAACCCTGTATAAAAATCAAACCAAACAGAACCAAACCAAACCAAACCAAACCAAACCAAACCAAACCAAACCCTGCTGGTCACTCCAGGCAGAGAAGCAGAAGCAGGTAGGCTAACTGCAGGTCTTCACCTCTTTCTCCTCTCCTACAAATCCAATTCCCCAGGCTCACGCTGCTCCCCACCCATGCACAGCAGGCCACCTGCTGTGGCCTTTCCTCACTCTCTGCCCCCTCTCCCAGGGTAAGCAGATCCTGATGGAGCACCCTACTTTGTTTTCTCCTGTGAACCTCCTCAGTATCCCCGCTTTCTAGCCCACCCCATCCCTAAGGGTCAGCTTCTAGTACCTAGAAACACAGCTGTATCATTAATCTTTAAACAATGAAAGCTGTAGTTCTCAGGCACATTGAGAAAAATTCATGAGGAAACAAACTGCTCTTGAGGGCAGGCCACACGCCAGAGAGTAGATGGCCAACAGGAAACAAACTCAATGGCGTCTTCAGAGGTCTTTTTTCTCATGATGCTGACTCAGGGCTTTAACTTTATTTTTAAATTTTAATTACTTTTCAAAATTTTAGTTCTCTCTCCCTCCCTCTCCCTCTCTCCCTCCAGCTCCTTTGTTTATATATTATGGCTTCCAGTTTTGTTTTTATGGGATCCCTGCGTGTGAATGAGTGGATCTCTGTGTCTATAACTGTTCCTTGTGCCTTTTCTTGGGCTCTTTTTCTTCTGTTTTTTTTTTTTTTCCTACTCCAATGTGTTTGGTTTTGTTTTAACTTACTATATTTTATTTTATCTTTTTAAATCTGTTGTCTCCTATTGAGAAACAGAAAAGTGGTGGATCCTGATGGGAGGGGTAGTGGGAAGGGAAGGTGAAGTGGAAACCTAAGGGTTCTTTGGAAAGTCAGTTAGATGGTGTTTTGCTGGGGCAAACATGTGAAGGAGTGTTTTCCTGAAGTGGACACAGGTGAAAGGTTAAGGCAGACTCGTGAAGAAACATTTCACTGAAGCAGACACAGGAGAGAGGATGTCCTGCTAAAACAAGCACTTAAAAGGATACATGATAGAAGACTTTTTGTTAATGAGATACATGTGTTGGTACACCTACATTTCATAGTTGAGCTACATTCGTTGGGTCCATAGAGAGAAACACGCCAAAAAACTTCTGGTGGTGTGCTGTTGTTTCTTCTTGCTTTCGAGGACTCAGGCTGACTGGCAGAGTGATGCCATCAAGACAGATGCACGTGCTGAGGCAAGACCCGTGGAAGACAGGTGATGTTTGGAGGGAGTATAAAAAAGGACTTGATGGACAGAGATGGAGGCTGAGCTAGGTTCACTTACAGAGCTCGAAGGGCAACGCTTGTGGGTCTCACATTTTCGCTGATCTCTGCTTCCCTGAGAGAGGCACAGCTGAGAACTTCTCCTGATCCCTCCTGGTCCCTCCTGCTGAGGCTGAGGCCTGGATGTTTCTGGTAGGTACTGCCACCACTGCTGATGTGTGTTTGCTTCCCGACTCGACCAAACTGGACTCTGTGAAGTATTTTCAAGTGGATCGAGCTGCTGCTGCAGACCTGTTAACTGAACTGCCAATTTCCAGACAACACAGATGGAAGTTGCTTCAAAAAACCTTTCTAAACAAGTCCACTTCCCCCACATTCTTTCTTCTCCACTACCTTTGGTGGGTACTGGGTTACAAGGGAGGTTAAAACGTTCAAAAGTCATCATTAAAGGTAAGGTTTAAAAAAATTAACGTTACAGGACGGGGAGCAGTAGAAAGCAAAGAAATGATGATCAGAATGATTATATGAAAAAATGTATTTTTAATAAAAGCAGGGCATTGGGGTTAGTTAATTCATTAGAGCAGAACAGGAGACTGATATACATTTTTATAACGTATGCTCCTTGGTTTAGATAACAGCCATTTCTATATTCCTTACAGTTACCAGATAATTAAGAAAACATTTGGAGAAGTGGGAGAGGGGTCCATTCCTAGGCCTGGGAACATGAAACTTGTTTGACCCTGCCAGCAAGATGGAGTTGTCCTCAAGATGACTGGACTCAGACAACTGTCTGTCTCCTTACAAGTTGTCCCTGAGATGGCTGAACTCAGACAACTGCTTACAACAGAAGCTGTTCAGCTACAGGAAAGCCCCCAGCTCCCCTGAGGCCTGGGGAATTTAGTTTCTCCCTATGATTAAATGGAGTCTGAAAATGAAATGTTATTACTTAGAATAAGTTTCTTTTGCTTGTTCCCAAGAGGGGTGAGACCTCTTAGACTGTGTTCAACATAACCTGCCAGTGAACAGAGACTGCCTAACGCTGTGATGCCTAATGTGATAACCAAAGTTATCATAACCCCAGAGCCTCAGCTTGCAGTAAATAAACAGAATGCTAATATGTGTATACGAGCTGTGTGAGCTAGACAGCTGGGAAAACATCAGCACTAAATGGACCAGGCAGGGCAGTTTCAGAAGAGACTAGAATGTGAATCCATGGGAACAGGTGTCACCCAATTGGCTCAAGGCCCGGGAAGAACAGGACAGAGACAAGAGTCCCCCACCCCATTAGCAGACATTCTTCTCTTGCATTCCATGTCAGAAAAGGCCCATCAGCTTCAAATTAAAAATTGTATTACTGACTTTGGACTTGTTTCCAAATATTTTTGACTTGGACTGAGCCCCACTACCAAATATCCCTATTATCTGGCTTCTTAGACAGGCCTGTGTTAGACTTAGCCTCCACAATTGCATGTGCCAATCTCCTTTTAAAAAAAAAAAAATCCTCCAACACCTTTAACGTTTCTAGCACAATCTCTCTCTAGTATGTAAACCAAAATTCAACGGACCTCATACACTTATAGGCAGAGTTCAGTCTATCATCAGTCATGCCTTTGTATGAATTCACCATGCTTTCTCTTCAATTATTTTGGACCACCTGGCAGCCTTCAATGCCAGCTGCCCTAGTTTGTTCTCTCTTGCTGTGATAAAACATTGACCAAAACCAATTTAGGGTGAAAAGGGTTTATTTGGCTCACAGGTTACAGTGCATCATCAAGGGAAACCATGAAGCAGAGGTAGAGGTGGAGGGACACAGCTTACTGGCTTGCTCCCAGGCTCAGAGCTACCCTTCTCATACACACATACACACACACACACACACACACACACACACACACACACACACGCTCTGCCCAGTAATGGCACCACCCACAGTAATGGCTGGGCCCTCCAACATCAATTAATAGTCAAGAAAATGCCCCATAGATATGCTCAAGGGCCAACCATGGAGACAATTCCTCAAGCTCACTCTGACACCAGTTGAAAGCATTTCAGTCCACCCCACATCTGGCTGTCCTCCGCATCATTTAGCACACCTGATCCACTCTATACTTTACCCGAGTTTTCCCTCAATTACAGTGTTAGCTGGAAGAATAAGGACTTTTGACTGTTTTGTTCATTTCTATAACCTCTGGATTTGCATGTCAGGATCAGGGAGTCTTTGGTTATTTGGTTTTAAAATCCACTCACATCCACATATACATACATACATACACACATACATACGTATGCATATATGTATATATATGTGTGTGTGTGTATGTGCATGTGTGCATGTGTAATGAATGAGAGTTCCATAAGAACTTCATGGAGGAGTATAGACAAGATAATGGAAAGTCAGCAGGAACTAAGACAATTTTCCTATATGGTGAGGCGTGGCCATCATTGGCTTCATTTTTTTTTTTTTTTATATTAAGGTGCATCCTGGAAACCAGCTTTCTTTGCTGAAGACCCCAACATAGCATCCCAGCCTCCCTAGAGCTCTCCTAGGTTCTCAACCTTCCTAATGCTTCCGTCCTCTCACACAGCTCATGTGGTGAGCCCTGCCCATAAATCATCTTCATCGCTACTTCATAGATATGCATTTAACACCAGCTGGCAGCAAATGATGTTAACTTCTCAGAGGCACACTGCTCAAAGATTAAAAACTATTCATGGATACTTGTTAAAGTTAGAGATACTCAAACTTTAAAAAAAAACTTTTTAACTTGGAAGTATCCCACTGAGAAACTACTTCATTTTAATAATCATGATCAAGGGAGTCTTTAATTAACATTTGGCAGAATTCACCTAAGTTCAATAAACAAAGTTTCTAATGGTTCCATTTGACATCAGTTGTTTCAGCAATTTAAAAGCACAGACATTTAATAAATTTGACTGGAAACAAGCAATCCTTTCCATATGTTGAAATCTGAATTAACATAATAAATTAAGCATAAATGACTAAGTTCTCAGCAACAATTATTTTTGCATCAATAGTAAAATATAAAATACTTCCCAACTAAAAATCACAAGTAAAAACTTGATCAGGCATTTGACTCTTAAGGCCAACATTACATATTGAAACACGTCATTATGTTAAAACACTTCACATAGCAAGTAATAGTTTCAATGAATATAAAAACAACTCCTGAGCTGTGGTGGTGCACACCTTTAACTCCCAGCACTTGGAAGACTGAGAGGCATGTGGATCTCTGAGTTCGAGGTTGGCCAGCCTGGTCTACACAGTGAGTTCCAGGACAGCCAGGATTACCTGAAGAGGCCCGGTCTTTAACCCAACTTGTGAACATAATTGTACTGAGGACTGTGGGATATGCTCCCTGATCCTTTTAAGGGTTTGTAACTGCTATACAGGAGCTGCAGCACTCTGAGTTTGTCAAAGGAATGAGTAGTAGGGCTCTCACAGGCCAGCCCAGTGCCAGAGTGATAAGGACACCAGCTTGGGGAGTCCAGTGACTTTAATTCAATGTTCTAAGAGAATGATTCAACCCTCAGATAACTGTGACAAGAATTAAATGATCTGGGGGCCAAGAAACCCTGCAGAGGTGCCCAGGAGACATCAGCTACAGCTTCCAGCAGACGCACAACTGCTAGTGGGAGCTCTCTGCATACCTAACAAGTTATTTAAATGGTTTTACTTAAGTAAATCATCAACTTTCTCAACTAAAAGCACAGCCTCTCATTTTGACTAATGTTGTAACTTCTCAACTCAACACTGAAGAACTGCCTCAGCTCACTGAAGGACACTGTACCCTACTGCTGAACATGTGTCCACACCAGAACACTCTAAATGTACCCCTTATGCTTTAAGAAAACCTAAACTTACACACCTCTAATTCCTGTGCTTGGGAGCCAAAGGCAGGCAGATCTCTGAGTTCAAAGCCAGTCTAGTCACAGTGACTTCCAAGACAGCCAAAGCTACACAGAGAAACCCTGTCTTGGGCAAAAAAAGAAGAAAAACCTTAAATTTACAAAACTGAGATTATAAGGCAGAATCATTACAAATCTTTCCCCAAGGATTTCTTCAGCTCAAGATGCCTTCACCAGAGACGTTATTAACGTAAGTGGGGTCACTGAAGGAAGGTAGGAAGTAACAGCTACGTAGTCAGCATGCTGGTCAAAGCCATTGACTGTCCAACAGGAATTGATACACCTCAGAAAGCCATGAAGAAAAGAAACTCTTTATAAAAAAATATAATTTACAATGAACTTTTAGAAACATACATTTTCAAAGCAAACTGCTGCTGTTTGAGTCTGACCCACAAAATGAATAAGAGAGAAAATGAAGTGTTAAGTACAGCTAAGAGAATTGTTAGAGGGTTACACATACAAGATAGAACACATGCAGGCTGAAAGGCCTGCACTGTAAAGGACAGGACAGACAGCTGAAGCACGGGGAGGACGGAAGGAAGGCAGCAGGCTGAGGAGGGGAGTCGGTTCAGTCAGATCTCTCTGGACAGGAAGGCTAAAGAAACCACTGGTGTCAGGCACAATTGTAGACGACAAAACAGACTCAGCAGGCCCTAAACGCACTTCCAGGGGCAATCCTCAGTGATCCGCCACACATGGAAGACAGTCCCATGAGCAGCTGATGAAAGCAGACTCAAGACTTCGAAGACCAGCAAGAGGGATGGAAAGCTCCCCAGGGCACTGAGGACAGAGAAGGATGTTTTGTTGCTGTTTGTTCACAATATTTTCCAGGCTAGACGCAGAAAACAAAACCAAGGTTCTGTCCGCTTGGCAGGACTCCGTCTGCTTGAAACCTTCTCCAGAGGGTCACAAGGCCCCACGGCAACTGAGACTCTGGTCCCATTAAGGTCAGTATCAACTCATCTGAGGTCGACAGACACTGTGACCAACACAACTAAGATCTTCTAGCTGAAGACGACACAAAATAAATCAAATACATGGAAAACCACATCTTGAAACAGGTACTTATGTCCCAATTTTAATTAATCCAGTCTCTTCCATAAAACTTCTGTCAATTATCCTTTTGAGTGTATTAAAGCTGCTTTCTTCTATGTAATTAACAGAGTCAAACAATGCCCGGTTAGGAGTTCTTGTCAGTGTCACTGGGCTGTGTTGGTGACTCCGTCTTCTCCTCTGGGAGTTCAGCAGGCACATGCTCCGACACAGGAGCGCTGTTATTCCGTGTCATGGTAGCAAACAGCATGTCCATCATCCCCAAGGTCTCTAGGAGTTCTCTTTGGTAATCAATTTCTTTTTCTACAAGTCCTTGAAGTACTATAAACTTTTTATCAACTACTGATGACTGGCCAATCACAGGTAAATATATATCTAAAGGGGGACAGAAAATACATTACTAAAAACATTTTCTGTAAGTGAAATCAATATTTAGAAAAATTACATTAAGACACTGAATACCAGTACTTTTAATAATTAATTTGTGATTTACAGGGAGCATAACAATACATTTGATTAAATGCATTTTGAAAAGAAGTAATTACACAAAATAAAGGGCAGGGAGTCTTACTTTCATGTTAAAACTTAGATGACTGGGAGCTGAGGGAATGACTGTGGGTTAGGTGCGTACTTTGCAAGTTGTGCCTGAACTTGATTCCCAGCATCCATTAAAAAAGGAAAAAAACTACACTGACCACCTGGCAGACAGCTGTATCCCCAGCCCCAAGACCACTAGCTGAGCTCAACGGTGAACTTCAGGTTCAAAGAGAGAACCAGTCTCCAAAACACAGCTGGCGAGTGACAGAGGAAGACACCAGTGTTGACCTCGGGCAAGCCTGAAACAAAGCATCAGCTGCAGGCTGCAGGAAGAGATGCACCACAGGAAAAGGCTGGAGCATGTGGGCATGCCACAGTAAACAGCAGGCAGGACCAAGTGCAAGCCACAAACACTGAACTTCAGATTTGTAAGCAAAATGAAGGACTCTATCCTACGTCCTCAAAAACAGACAGGGTGATTCTCTTCCTTGTGGCTTTAAGGAAGAGAAGAAAGGATGGCTTCAGTGAGTTTCAGTTACTTAACCAAGCACTCGAGAAAAAAAGAGAGCTGAGATTCACCCAGCAAGCAAAGGCTGGAGACAGGGGCCCCTGCACATCTTAGCTTGTTCTCACTTGTCATATGAGGGAACCATACTATGTTACTAATCTCTTCCAGTCAGGGAGGTGGGAGCCCCTGCATCTCTTATTTCCAAGCCCCAAAGGCCTCTGCACTCTACTGGGTAAGAGAGTAGCCACTTGGACTTGGGACACTCTCCTCTACATTTCAGTGCAGCTGAGAACTGCCAGCGGGAAAGAGAGCAAGTGCAGGGGAGTTCAGTGGTGAGGGGCTGCACCACAGACCCCCCTGGCCAGAGCACCCAGGATGGCTCTGGCAGTGCAGATGCCCAGCACAGGTCCATTGGGCCTGACTGCCTTCTAGACTTTCCGAGCCCGAGACTTTTCACAGAAATTCAACCATGACTTGATGTTTCCACACCCACGTTAGAACTGCTAGAGTACCTCTGTGTAAAGTGCATCCAGCATGGTGGTTCTCTGGCTCACCATGCAGCCTGCCGATAGACACTGCATGACCCACACTACTGACACAAAGGTGCACTGACAGGACCTCGGCAGAGCAACAGCCACCTCATGTCAGCAGGAGACACGGTGGCCCCGACTGGACTCCCCTGCCCCTCCTCACTGTTTCAGGCTCTCGTCCTAAGCACTTTCTCTTTTTCCTGTCTTGCTCCTTCTCTCTCTTCTTACTAACTTCCCTTATTTATTGATTTTTTTCCCTTTACTGATTTAAATTCCTAGCTTACCCTATGCACGCCCTCCATCCTTATCCTCCTGTTCTTTCTGGGGGCATGGTTTATTCAGGTGTTTTTTGCTTTATGTAAATATCAGTTGGGCTTTTGGTCGTTAAGGGGACTGCTTTCTATCCTGTGGGTAGTAGGCACAGGCTTCAAGCACCACACAAACTCAGCAGAGAGAGCCATTCCGAGAGATGTGCAATGGAGAACATAAGGAAAACAGAACAGACATCATCGTTAGAGATGTTTATGGGAAAACTTTTGTAAAGTGTAATTATTCTAGTCCAGTCAACTCAAATCTGCCACTCTAACAGTTTACCACATTGTAATTGCACCGACACCTCTGAGTTTTCTGTTTCAGGTCCTTTAATTTTTTATTATTATTATTATTATTATTATTAACATACTGAAGCTCAAACTGAGGGGCCTGGCATGCTGGACAAGTGCTCCCCACACCCCCCCACACCCCAAGCTCTCCAGTCCCAAGTCTTCAGCCTTCAGATGCATGTTGAAATGTCTGCGGTTCACAGCTACTTACCGATCACGATTTCAGCAGCATTAATCAACACAGGGGCAAATCTCGGCTGAGACAGATTCCTGCAAAGCAAAACTTGTTAACGAAATCTTATAAGCCTTAAAAAAAGAAAAATCAAATCCCTAAAACAGAAGAGCAAACTAAAAGACAGGTGCCTCTCACTGGGCAATAATGGAGGACCTAAGCCACAAAGTCCAAGTGAAACACACCTACCTTATCAAAAAGTTAAGGACCCGGGTAATCTCCTTCTCGTCCCGACCTGCGAGAGCGTTGGCAAGGACGCCTCTCCGATTCAGTTCTTTTATGATGGAAACTGTAACCTCAGGGGTCTTTATCACACAGTTAGGCTAGAAAAAGGTTCAGAGTCAGTACATCCGAAAGGACAGACAGAAAATGTCACTATCCGCAGTAAACGGCAGGCTCATCTTCACAACCCCAAGTCATGGGAAATCATAAGCCCATCACTAATGGATCCCCACATGTCCTGTCCCTTTGTCTGACAGGCTCACACTGCAGCCTTAGCTGACCTTGAGTTTTACTACGTAGCCCAGCCTAACCTTGTGATCTGCCTGCCTCAGGCTCCCAAGTGCTGGGATAGGAGGCCACACCACAGAGGTTAAAATGACTATTTAAGTGCTCCTCAGTAGTTAGGCACAGGAACACACATCTATAACCCCAGGGCGAGGAGGCAACAAGAGGGTCCTGGGGGCTCACTGGCCAGTCAATCCAGCTACCTGGTAAGCTCCCAGTTCAGTAACGGACCCCTATCTTGGACAATTTTTTTTTCTTATCATAAGTAGAGTTCATTGGCAAAGAGGGAACTTCAGTTGAAAACTACCTCCATTATACCAGCCTGTGGGCAAGTGTATGGAGCATTTCCTTGATGTAGGGGCCCAGCCCACTTGGGTGATGCCATCCCTAGGAGGTGGTTCTGGGTTGTACAAGAAAGCAGTTGAGCAAGCCACTGGGAGGAAGCCAGTCAGCAGTGTTCCTCCATGGCCTCTGCTGCAGTTCCTGCCTCCAGGTTCCTGCCCCTGCCCTGACTTCCAACTTCATGAGTATAAACTATAATATATAAATTATAATATTTACAACGTAAGTATTATATATTTATATATAATATAATTAGGTATAAATTATATACAATTATATAATTAAATATAAATATATAATAATAAAATATATAAACAATCTATATAAGCTGTAAGCTGAAACCCCTTTGGTCCCCAAGTTGTCATGATTTTTGCACATGAACAGACGGAATACATGAGCACTGCAAACACAATTAAAAATTAAGTGAAAAAATATCTCTCACTCACCTCAAGGACTCTGTCGAGGGCCTTTGAGATCCGAAAACTTTTCAGATCCCTGTCATACCATTCTAGGTGCTTCTTTGCTGGCCTACTGACCATGATGTCATCCTGAATGAAAGAGCAAAATTTATAGAGGAAGAAAGTTGGTCCCTACACATTAAAAATCAGTGTTTTCATAATAAAGTGATACATGTTAAAGTCAGGATGCTTTTACACTGCACCACAAATAATGTTCCTATGCTGATAAGCTAAGTGATACTTTGCCATGTTAATATGGTCATACTTATGATTTTACACTTTCCCGTGTTAATATGGTTATACTTATGATTTTTAGCTTATACATATCCAAGTGGCTCTATTCTGAGCAAAATTACTAAAGGAAATAAGTAGAAAGACAGACAGACAGATAAAATTTGAATAAGGCAGGCAGTATGACTGCATATAAAGAGAAGTGAAAACAAGGCAGAGAGACTGAGATCTAACCTTCACACCTCTAATGAGCTCCTGGGTCAGTGAAACTTTACAACTCGGCCCTCTGTAACACTAGGGAGACATGACAGCTTTGTGCCATTTAGAGGACCAAATCAGAGAGTAGGTGACACATACTATTTTGAAGATGAGAACGCACTTTATTACTACATGATCCAAGGTATTAAGAAAGTAGTCCCTGTTCCCCATTATTCTTCAATAGTGTCCAGCCATCTGCCAACTTTAATGGGGCAAGAAGCAAAGTAAATGTATGTATTAGGTAAATCATACTTTACAGTAAAGTCCAGGAACAGGTGGGACTGACCCTTCTAAGAAATGTCACATTTTAAAAATGATTTAAAAAAAACACATAATCACCCGTTGCTTCATGTAAATTTTTCCTTTAATAAAGGTTCGATATGCAGGCCTCCTTCTCCTCGGAAGAGACTCCTTTTTTGCTTCAGACTTCCGGTGTTTAACGCTCAGTATTCCATTGGTCATTCCTACAACTATCGTCTCATCTTGATGCTGATGGTAATCAGAAAAATCAATCTACTTTAACCAACATTTTATAGTACCTTTAACTCAAAACAGCATTTACATCATGTCTGCTACTTACCCTGTCACCCACAGTTCCACTCAATGCCAACACACTCCTAACAATGATCTATCCAAATTGTTAGAGCAAAATCACTTTTTCTTCCAGGGTATCACTTTCCGGACAGGCCTTCTTATCCTCACACAGCACTGCCAGTGAGAACCTTGATGCTGGCTGAGCATGCTAATAAGATGCTAATGGCATCTTGACAAGTTCCAAAGTAATTTTTTATATTCTCTGAATGCAAAAAGGACCTTATGACTTTAGTAAGCTGGCTCCCACAATATCTTCTCTTTACTTTTCCTCTCTGTGTTGAGACTTCCTTTTTTTTTTTTTTTTTTTTTTTTTCGAGACAGGGTTTCTCTAACTCACTCTGTAGACCAGGCTAGCCTCAAAATCAGAAATCCGCCTGCCTCTGCCTCCCAAGTGCTGGGATTAGAGGTGTGCGCCATCACCGCCTGGCGAGACTTCCTTATAACATATTCAATTATCCTCTTGCCCAAATGTGTCTCCTGAAACCTGACAGTGAATATTCTAGGAAGCACAGTGCTCACTCTGCAGCTCCTCCCTCTCCACCGTTTCTGAAGCCAGCCCTTCTCAGGTGCTGCAGCGCCCTTGCATTTGCTGAAGAAAGAGCTAACAACTTCCTAGCCCAGCCAAGGTACTACCATTACAGCAGTCAGTACCACCACGAACGAGCGAACTACTCAGTTATCAAGAAATGACACGCCTTACCAATTGTCTTGACTCAAACAAGCTTATGTGCCTTACTTAAACCCAAAGGTAAGACCCCAGAGAGTCCATTTTACTTTTACTTCATAAGCAAGGTTTGTAACAACTTGAAAAGAGCTGAAATCACTTACAGAAAGTGCCAGACTCAAGATTGAAGCCGCATAGTCAAAGCTGTGGACGACTTTGTAGGATGTGGTGCTGTAGACTTTAACTTTCCTATGAAAAAGAAAGCTCAGAAGTCACCTCAGAAATGCGTGCGTGAAAAAAATATAAAGTCTCTGTTTTTAGCAAACTATATGAATATTAAATTTTATACTGTCCATAAAAAACATTGACATGATATTAATTACAAAGTACTTCATCACCAAGCTCCCTGAAGAGCAGTTTTGAGCACTAACCAGGTTTGAATACAGACTGACTACACATTTATAAAACTAAAGGACAGTTGACCCCATGTCATCTGAAGATAGGATAGAGGCGTGAAAACACAAGGTCAGTGAGCAGACACAGTGAGCCCCAGAGCAGGGTCCCCGGCACACCCTCCACTGGGGCACAGCAGCAGCAGCTCTGGCCTCCATCCCCTGCATGGCAATAGCATTGAAAAAAAAATTTCTTAAAAGCAGGAAAGAAATGGCAGCCTAGAGACAAAATAACCAATAGAAAAAGTAAGTCCCACAACACTGTGGACATCAGCTACATGTGGCTACTGAACCCTTGACATGTAGCTAAAGAAAATGGGGTACATTTAAAAACTATAGAAACTTTTATAAAATATTATACTATGGCATACATTTTAGAAACAATATTCATATCTAGTATCTTACTAAGTAAGTAGTCAGATTACATGTTGAACTAACAACCCATGTATTATAAATTTTACTTTATGTTAGATAATGGAGTACATGAAATATGTTACTAAAAGCAATTTTTAGATTTTTAACCTCTTTAAATGTGGCTACTAAATCATTTAAAATTACACATGCAGTCTGTGCTATGGGCTCATCTGACGACAGTTTTAGAACATCGAAAGCAGAAACCTTGACTTGGCTATTTTCATGCTGACGCTCGGGCCCTGAGCACATAGGTACACACTCTAGCCCAACCCTTGGTCTCTGTGCCCTAATCATCCATTGAAAACCATAGTGCTTGCACCACTAATGCAGGAAGTATTCATATGAGCTGTTAATATTTTTAGTTTGTTTTGTTTTGACACAGGGTCTTTCTTTAGCCCTAACTGTCCTAGAACTCACTATGTAGACCAAGCTGGCTTTGAACTTACAGCGTTCCACCTATCTCCGCCTCCCAAATGCTGGGATTAAATGTGTGGGCCAAAACTTCTGGCTGAGGTTTTAAATTTTAAAAAATGTAACATAGAATGAAATATATCTTCAGAATAAAAATTCTAAGACACGTGTGTATATATATAAAACGACTTTAAAAGAAACTATAGGAAAATAGACTATTTCAAAAGGCCAGTGGTACTCAAGTATGTAAGTTAAAGTAATAGATAAAGTTATTTCTGGGGAAAAACAAGTAGTTGTATGTAAATATAGAAGGTCAAACTATGTCCAAAGCAATAGATTTTTATCCTCTATGAAAACCATTAGAAGATCTTTTAACACAAATATTGCTAAAATAACTCAATTTCTCAAATAGCAAATCCTAACAATGATGGACAAGAAAGTTAAAATGCTACCTATCCAGTGAGCCGGAGAGCAGCCTCTGTCCAGAGCTGCTCAGACACAAACATGTCACAGTCTTGTGATGATTTTTCAAAGACACAAGCAGCTGTCCTCCTTTTAACATGTCCCAGACTTTAACATAACGGCCTCCTGTGGAGAGAAATAACCCGCAGTTTGATATTCTGCCTATATGCTCAGAACGATAAGGATCTAAGAAGCACTTCTCTCTGGAGCTCCCTAGGCTGGGCACTAAGCAGCAGCCAGCACTGCCTGTGGTACTCAGGAGCCCCTCACAGGAATGCTACCATGACTAAGTTACTGCTTATTTTAAGCACAGCAAAACAAATAGGAAACTGAAAATATTTGTTTTAAAGAAGAGTATAACAAATTCACTGTAAGATAGCCATCTTGCAGGAAAAGGCGCTTCCCACCAAGCCTGGAGACTGGAGTTTGATCCCTGGGATCACATGGTAGGAGACAGCTGACTCCTGAAAGTTGCCCTTTGAACTCCACCCATGTACACATTAATAGAACAGATTAATAAAAACAAACTTAAGGACTACTGTACAGCTATGGAAATAATGTAGTTGTAGCCCTAGCTGTCCTAGGACTCACTATGTAGACCAAGCTGGCCTTGAACTTACAGCATTCCTCCTGCCTCCCATGGATCCCCACACGTCCTGTCCCTTTGTCTGACAGGCTCACACTGCAGCCTTAGCTGACCTTGAATTGTACTATGTAGCCCAGTTTAACCTCAACTTGTGATTTGCCTGCCTCAGCCTCCCAAGTGCTGGGATTAAATGTGTGAGCCAATACTCCTGGGCTAAAAATTTTATGAGCCCCCCAAAGTAAAAAGACATCCCAGGAATTTTATTCTAAGAATCAAAAAGATCCTTAATAGGTAATATAACCCTATGATTCAAAGAATATAATTTTAGGAGCTGGAGAAATGGCTCAGCAGTTAAGAGCACTTGCTAATCTTGCACAGGACCTGGGTTCAGTTCCGAGTATCCATATGGTAACTCACAGCCATCCATAAATGCAGTTCCAGTGAATCTGACGCCCTCTTCTGACCTATTAGGGCACTGCATGATGTAGTACACAGACACACTAGCAGGCAGACCACCTATGCACATAAACTGTGTTTTCAAGAAAACACCAAGTGCAAGTGGACTAGGAAAGACAGAAAAGCGCGTGCGTGGGGAGGAGGGGTTCTCATCGGCCCCGTTTGAGGACCTGAGCTGCCTGGGCCGACGCGGCTCACAGTGTGGGCGGACACACGGCTCATCCCGTTCGAATGTGGAGCTAGCTAGTGAGAAGGGTCAGTTTACAGCTACTCATCTAATGCACTTCCTCCTCCTCCTCCTCCTCCTCAGGGCACAGGGGTGTGAAAGGGCTCCCTAAGGTCACACGGATAGCCGGTGACAGAGGAGATCGGTCTACAGATCTCCATCTTCCCCATCCAACTTGGTTTCATTTCCACTTCTTAAAACAAGAAAAAGAGTTATGTCTGACAATGGCATAAAAAAGAATTTTAAATTAAACTGGTACCAGAAAATGTATAAAAGATTTTTTTTTAAAAAGAAGAAATGTAAAGCTATATAGTGTCAGATGAATACATTCTTCTGATATCAACACTTCTGCTTTAGTGACAAATGAAGAATTATGATTATAAAGTTCATTTTAGTAAACACAGCCAAATTCCTCTTGACTCCAGTTTAATGGAAGTGTATAAGGCCTATTTAATTCTCCATTATATCTTCTCCAGCACATGTGCTGTTTACTGGACAGGAACTTGTCAGGAGACACAGGAAAGGAGACCAGCATGATTCCACACCAGGGGGAAGGCTGCCAAAGCTACAGATTTCTTCTCTGGACTAACAGAAGTAGACTTCTGGGGTCACATGGGACACATACCTAACCTATCAAGTTCTCACATTCCAGGACTTCAGGCCTGCCACTCAGTGTTGCCTTGGACAAACTAGTTGACATTGCTTCATTTATTTACGTAAGTGTAAACAGAACACAAACCAGCTGGCAGGACTGTCTAAGGCATTAGAGATGACATTCGGACACCAGCACAGTCTCAGTGGGAGTCAGATACAGTAGGTGACAACTACTGGCCCAACCCACCTACCAACAGAGCAACAGCTTACATACATAAGCTCAGGTGAACACCAATAATTTACAAAAGAAAAATCTAATCTATTTGAGACCAACAATAGTGGTGAAAGCTATTTTGAAAAGCAATACCTGCAGACACCAGAAGACCTCCAGAGGGGAAAAGGAGGACACTCTCCACGGGCTGCCCATGCTCCACACAGAGAACATTTTTATTTGTCCGGGCATCGAACATCTTCACAGTATGATCATATGACCCTGAAATGCCAATGTTTGCATTACCTACATTTTGTTCTTTAAAATAAAGTTTGTCTATCCATACATTAAGATTAAAAGGAGAAACACATTGCATGAGATTTTTTGAAAACACACACACAATTCATAGTTAGTACTTCCAAATCTTCTACTACTACTGTTTCTGCAGTACCGTATAATATTACACACATCTGACTCTGACCTTCAGACTCCTGTCACCATGACTCCACCTGAGAATCAAGACAGTAGGTACCTACACAAACTGAGCTGTGCCTACTACACAGCTCACAGTGCTGTGTGGCTGCTACAGCTGGCTCTCTGATAACCAGGGTACCATGAGCCCACTACATCTGACATCTATGATACTTTCAAGCCACCCTGAAACTATTCCCAAACACATTTAGAGGACAACACAACCCACTATCAAGAGAAGAAGAAGAAAAAATAGCAGACTTTATTCAAAACCTTATTATTTGATTATTTATGAGGCTAAGAATGCATACATTCTAGGCTAGAACTAGCTCTCATACATCCTAGGCTAGTGTTCTACCATTACTATACACCCCCAGCTCTATCAATAAGCACTTAAAACCCCTCTACCCAAAGAGGATCTACAGCAGTGAAGTAGAAATAGATCACCAACCTGTTACAAAAAGGTCTGGGTTCAGTTTGCTGGCACAGCCACACCTCACGTAATCAGAATGGTCTTTGAATGTCAGAATTTCTTTGGAGTTTGGAATATCCCATAATTTAACAGTATAGTCATCAGCTCCAGAGACCACATGATATTTGTCAGCTGTAAAATCTACTGTATGAACTGCTCTGAAAGATCAAAAGTCAACAGATTACAAACCAAGGGGAAAACTACTGTTCATATCTAATGTAAAATGTTCCTTTATAGATTTAAAAAAGATCTATGAGGTTCAGTCCAGCAAGATGACTCATTCCCTGGGTAAAATGAGTTTCGTCTCTGGGACCTCAATGGTGAAAGGAGAGAACCAACTCCTGAATGTTGACCTCTGACCTCCGCATGCATGCCACTCCATGTGCACACTCAAATACACACATATAAGAGGCACACATATAAATAAATACTCAACTTCAGAAAGCAGAAAGTGTCTATGCAAGAAAAAGAGAAATAGAAAAATCTTTAAATAGGTGTTCCTTAAGGAAAACTCTGAAATGTAATACTATGTTACTATTAGGTTAGCAAGAATATTAAGTAACTGCCTTACATTGTATTTTATAGAATGCTAATAATTAATGAAATTAAGTTCTAAATGTTGTAACAAAAGTAATTTTTGAAGTTTTTAAAAAAGATTTATTCATGTATTTTATGTATATGAGTACTTATATATGTGCCAGAAGAGAACATCAGACAGAAGAGGGAAGGCATTAGATCACATTAGAGATGGCTGTGAGCCACCACGTGGGTGCTGGGACTTGAACTCAGGGCCCACGGATGAGCAGCCAGTGCTCTTAACCACTGAGCCGTCCAACTCTCCAGCTCAGCAAAGGTACTTTTTAAAAAACATAAACAAAGAGCTCTTTCAAAAGTCTTGAGAAAGACTTGTTATAGAGCAGAATCTCATTGAAAGAGTTTTGAGTGTTTCAGTGATGGGTACAAACATCCTGACAGTTTGCAATAAAAATATAAAACAAAAACAAAACAAAAACCCACTTTGATATTTGAAATCAGTAGCAGTTTCAGCGATGACTTTAGTAACCCTGAAACTAAAGTTAGAACACTGAATTTATCCACGGGAAAATATCACAAATCAAAACACATCATTTTAGTCACAAGCTCTATGAACTGAATGGTGGAACTCGGGTTAAGTTCTTTGAGAACAATAAGAAATAAAAAGTGCATACAGACAGAATCCTCACACAACTATATGTGTTAAAAAGCATGCAGACAGAGCTATCAACAGAAAAACAACAAATTAAAACCAAAACACATCACATTGGCTCTTACTTTGTGTGACCTTCAAACTGCCTGAGGGGAGCCCTCCCACTTATATCAAAAAGTTGAACTACACCATCTTCACTGCCAGCGACAAGCAACTGGCCATCCTGTCGAAAAGTAGCACAGTATGCTGTATCCTTAAAGCGGGAAAAGGTTTTTACAGGTTCTTGAGAGTACCGGCCATAAATGTGGATCTGTAAGATAAAAACAGTATTTCAGTAGCTGGCTCAGCAGAAAACCCCATAACGAGACCGAAGCCATTAGCTTTGTACTTACTCTTGAAGACGCTGTGACCGCATAGTTATACGGAGGCTGAGGAGAAAAGTCTACTTTGGACACTGCACCAAACTCCTTAATCTGAACAGGGGTCTTAATAAAAAAACAAGACAGTATTGGCAGAGTTAAAAAGGCAAGTCACACTTAAGCATTACATCACTTCCTACAGAGCGGTTCCTTTAGTCCTTAGTAATAGCTAGTATGCTGTAATTACATAGAAATATGAGGGGAAAGAGGAAAGGAAATGAGAGTGAAGCAAAAAACAGTCCGATGACCCTCCCCTACACTGTCCCTGTTGACAACACAGGAAATAACCACAGTTGGAAAGCCAATGAGTCTTCAGCTGCTGATTTTACTCTGAATCCCAACAAGAAAAGAACTAAGCCTGTACCAGCATCATCCATCCGTGACTCTAAGTTAATAAGACAATCAGACCATACAATCAGGTCTGCGTCATTTTACACCAGCTAACCCACTTTATCGTGCACATAAGCAATACATTTACTGTCCATTTTTATAAAGCTACATTTAGCTTTACTGAGCCAATTCACATCTAATGGGCTTATTTTTACAAGAATTCCAATATTACACTGAATACTTCAATACACACTTCTATATGTCTTAGCAAATTCTTGAAAGCATGTTTTATTACAAGCTATGAGTACAAAGCCAAAAGCAGTATGTTTTTTAAAAACCGTTGACAGTTATTGTCATTTCCCTCCCTCAATTTTTTTTCATTTATGACACTATAAACTGAGCAAACCAGCACCTAAACCGTTATCTTATTTGGTTTTAATTTATGCTCTTTGTTGAAATCTTATGTGTGTATCTGCTTATCTAAACGTGCACAAGTGTGAAGTGCCTGCTGAAACCAAAAAAAAGGTACTGGATCCTCTGGCACTCGAGTCACAGGCAACTGTAAGCTGCCCACTGTGGGTGCTGCAAACTAAACCCAGGTCCTCTGCAAGAGCATCAAGTGTCTTAATCTCATGTAGTTGAGAGTACCCTCAAACTCATCCCGCCCCGGCTCCCAAGTGTGGGGATTACAGGCGTACACTACATGACCAGATAGGTTTGTGCAAGGCTGAACTCAGGCCTCGTGCGACCAGAAGAGCACTCTATTAACTGAGTTACGTGTGCTTTAATTGGGAGCAAAGCTCAGCCTCCTCTTCCATTTTTATGTCTGATTAAATATCATTTTTCCACAAACTTCTTAAACAAAATCTCAAACTTTTTCTATTTTCTTGGAGATATATATATATATGTATGTATGTATGTATGTATGTATGTATGCAGTCATTGTAAGCATTATTAGAAGGTACAAAGAATCTAATTTCAGAGTAAGAAAAGGCAAGAACGTCTCCTTGCATATAAGAGTCAAGTTTTACAGTTTCATTTGCCACTACACACATGTTCTGTGTTAAGCATCTTCATGGTCAAAATAATTAAGTGGTATGAACTTTGACATGAAACTCTAAGAAACAATAGGTAACAATTATCCGCCCACACTATTAGTTTTAGCTAGTGGATCTGCCAGCATGAGCTGGAGACACTGGCATAAACAGATTAAGAACTGTCCAAAAGCCCTCCTCCCTCATTTCCTCGCACACTTTACCTTATAGTTGTTCCAGTACAGAGTGTCTTGGGTGATTTTCTCACCAAGTACAGGATATGTTTGAATCGCTACAGGTTTATAACCAGCCATGGTTTCATGTAAGCGCACTGTTATCCAAGGGTCAATAGTCTGGAACTAATTTCAGAATAACCTCAGTGACTGCCTTAGGCCTGAAAAAAAGAACAAAATTTTAAGCACATATTGTTTATAAACTTTCCCCATGCAAGTATGATTTTCGTTCCACTTTCTTTCAAAAGGCTGTGTGGAACTTTATAGACTAATGATGAATAAACCATTTCATTGGAATCATGGAAGAGACACTTGAAGCGTGGAGACCTGGGGTACCATACTGCACCATCTACATACACAGGCTGTATATGTATATCCTTAAACCTCCCAGACCAGGCTGCAAGGCTTAAGAATAAATATGACGCAACCTTCCAGAAGCTGAACCAGAAAAGCATGCCGGGCTGGAACATCCACTTTCTTGTCAAAGGAAATAATACAGGAACTAGAAATACAACATTATCTCCACAGACTTGACTTCCTAAAAGACAAAAGATGCCAAGAAGAAAGGAAAACAAAGTTAATGCTCCAGTGTGGAAGCTTAAGATGAAATTAGAGATAATGTGCTGGCACAAGACATAAAATTAAACGTGAAAGGTTCAAACTGTAGGAAAGAAAACTGAAATAGAGGAAACCTAAAGTGACAGAATAAGGGAGAAAAAAAGAATCTAAGTTCTTAACAGGCGAAGCATTCGACTGAAGGTAGTCAAGAGTGTCAGATGGATGGATGATTCCAGGGACGACGCTCTCCATCTATTCTGAAAAGCCTGCAAAGAGGACATCAGCAGCACCAAGGCAATCAGTATGACTTATTTTAACTGCTTTTTTTTTTTTTTTTTGATGAAGCAGAGCAAACCAAGGTTCATTCACTTCCACCTACAGCGTATAAGATAGTATTCAAAGCACTGGAGAATACAAGGGCAGTAAACAGACAAGACCTACACCTTCAAATACTCAAAACGATTGTGTCTACTAGGAATCTACTCAGCTTTCCTCCTCATCCCTAAGACACAAAGAAGTATCAAGAGTTCATCTCTCGGGCTGGAGAGATGGCTCAGTGGTTAAGAGCACTGACTGCTCTTCTAGAAGTCCTGAGTTCAATTCCCAGCAACCACATGGTGGCTCACAACCATCTGTAATGGGATCTGATGCCCTCTTCTGGTGTGTTTGAAGACAGCTACAGTATACTCATATACATAAAATAAATAAAATCTTTAAAAAAAAAAAAGAGTTCATCTCTCAAATATCTCTTTGTGTAAAAGTGTGTGTTTGAATATAGGAGCCAGACAGTCCATCTCTATGGTGCTGCATCTTATTTTCTGAGACAGAATAAAGTTGCTCACTGAACATGAAACTCACCAACTGACAATACTGCCTAGCTAGCCATGCTGACTAGCAACCCTGGGGGATCCTCCAGTCTCTGCCTCCTAGCACTGGGATTCTAGGCACACTTGGCCAAGCTCTCCTTTTTATGTGGGTGCTGGGGAGTTTATCCCTCTCATCTACTAAGACATCTCCCCATCCCTTAATCTCTCAAATACTTCTAAACTTTAAGTCCACTTAACCCAAGTTCAAGTGCATCTTTTCTGACTACTGAAATAAAAGCTATACCATCTGAAAGTGTCCTAGACTCCCTCACCCATCTTCCCAAGAGTCACCAGTGGTGCTCAAAACCCAACACTACTCAGGAAATAAACTCCTAGCCCCTTAGCACATAAGGTTCCCTTTGCTCTGGCTTTTTTTTTTTTTCTTTCTTTTTGAGACAGGGTTTCTTTGTGTAGCCCTGGCTGTCCTGGAACTCACTCTGTAGACCAGGCTGGCCTCGAACTCAGAAATCCGCCTGCCTCTGCCTCCCAAGTGCTGGGATTAAAGGCGTGTGCCACCACCGCCCCACCACCCCACTGCCCCACCTCTCTGGCCTTTTAAGCTTCACCTCTTGTATTACCAACTGTTTATTTTACAGTTCACTAAACACATCACACTCATTTTTGCTTCAACATTCCAGGAATGCCCTTTCTCTCTATGTACTTCCTACTTAAGGTCACCACAGGAAATCATTCTGTCCCTAGGAAATCACTCTCTGCCTTCCAACAGGTGTTCTCAAACACTTTCCATCAAGGGCCAGATGGTAAATATTTTAGGTTTGGCCCAACCAATGGACGAAACAGAAGATATTCTATAGTTAATGACATAGCAAGAAAAAAATTCACTAATAATCACAAACACATTTGTTGTTGTTGAAAGAAAATACAATTCTTTGAGGTCAAGGGTTATTTCATTTAGTTCCAAGCCAAATCACTGTACATAAGACAGTATGTTTATCTGCAAAAACCATTCTTAGCTCACTAGATACAAAACAAAACCAAACCAGGCACCGGAATAGATCTGTCCCAGGAAGAGTACCTCCTAAGTGTATTTTTCAAGAAATGAAAGCTTTTCAAGAAAGAAAGTGATAAGTAGCGGTGGCTTGCTAAGTTACACAAATGAAGAACACCATTGGCGGGGACGTGCGAGGGAAGACAGTACAAACAGCGAGATGCTATGAAAACGAATGGAAGGAAAATCATTGGACCAAGTCAGGACCTAAGAAACTGGGATTCACGGAATAACAGGCATTACGACAACACAAGGTGTGATCAAATAAACCCTGTAATTAAGAGTACTGAGAACATGGAAGGGGAAGATATTTAATTCTACCTGGAAATAATGTCATTTCAGCGGGGTCTCTAAGCATAACGTGACACGATGGGCACAAAAGGAGTAGAGCGTAGTGCGGAGACGAATACTCGGCCATTCTCAAATCACTAAAACAGAATTCTGTCCTCGGCCTTGGAGAAAAATGGATTGCTCCAGGGACTGACAGCGGTGGCTAGGAGAGCGACTACTGAGGAGCAAAGCCTGAGGCAAAATTAAATCGCAGAGGCAGGTAAGCTCAGTAATCTCGTGAGAAGCCTGGGAAGCCCCAGAGCAGAATGTCCAGCATGTCAGAGATCACAGTGAGGTCCGAACAGAGCCTGGGCCGCCACCGGGAGCCGCCATCGCCTACCTCCGCGGGGCACCGAGGGTCCGCCGAGGCACCCCGATCCCCAGGACGACTCCCCAGACTTCGCCAGCTCCCTACAGCACACCGCTCTTCAGCACTCGCTCAAAATCACGCGGACACGCCAGGAGCCGGAAACGCAGAGGCGCAGAAGCGCGTCGCGGGAAGATGACGCGTAGCGCACGCACAGGAAGCCGTAAGGCCCAAAGAACTATAAAAATGCGCCCTAGTAGGCGGAGCAGCGGGGCGGGGCCCCCGGCTGTTCTGTAGTGACCCGGAACTGAGGCGGACCTTAGCTTTCAGTGAGGATGGGCTGCGGATCTCCAGGGAAACGAGAAGCGATCACTGATAGTCCTCTAGCCTTCACTGAACGCTCTCGGCTTTTTTCAGAGGAGATAAAAAATAGGAAGTGACGTCTGGGCCCGAAGCAGGCGGGGTTCGGAACCGATCTGCAGCTAGGCCAGGCCCGAGCCGCTTTCCCGCTGTGGTCCGGGTAGTCGTACCCGCCGGACCGGCCCCTATCTCCGGATCCGCTCGCCGCGCGGGAACGGGAGCGGGTGTCACCCCGCGGCCATATAGCGGGAACGCCTGTTCGGACACCTGTCGCCTGTGAGACGCCTTTCGCTTTTTATAGCACCTTTTCCCCCTCGTAGGACAATTTCAAGAGTTAGAAAGAACCGGGAGCCCCTGCGATTAGCTTCCCCTAGGGGCTGTGCCCACTGCATGCATTATACACTCCCTTCCTGGGAGTCTGGCTGGCGAGCCTTCCCACCCTTTCTCTCTTAACTCTTTCTCATCATCTCTGTCATTTCGGTTTTCCCTCTCCTGTGCTTTAAGTTTTGGCGTATCAACAGTCTTTGCTCCTCTCTGTAATCGAGTCTAGATAACCGTTCCCTCTTCATTTCCTGTTCTCCTGCCAAAGACTGGTAATTCCGTCTATTGAAACCTATTGTTCTATAGGGGCTCGCCAAAAAAAAAAAAAAAAAAATTAGAGGTGACTATTTTAACCCCATTTTAGAAATGACTGAGTCTCGGGAAACTCATGATTTGCGTGTCTGACACATCTAAGTAGTTGATGTTGAGAATAAATTACCAGACCCAATTAGAAAATATGAGGAAGAAAATGTAAAAAATTGTTCAAATTAAGATCAGAAAATACCTATGGGGCACTAGGTAGGTTTTATGTGCGGTGGCTCCTAAGAGTGATCTTAAACCAGGTGAGGGAAGTGGTACTCACCTTTAATCCCAGCATGCTTGGAAGGCAGAGGCGTGGCTACAAAATAAGACCTTGTATCAAAAGAAAAAAGTACTCCATGTGGCATTCCCCCCCCACCCCCGCCTTTAAAGGAAGCTTGAAAGGAAGTTTTCAAGAGAAAAGCGGTGTTAAAAGGGACACACGACATCCCCTGGGGGAGCTGGGTTGGAGGCGGGGATGGACTTGCGCTCAACCTACAGGTGCCTGGAAGAAATTGTTCTTTCCTTAGAAACAGTTCCCACTGAGCACTGAACTACCTTTCTGTTCCTGTTGCCTTCTGACAAATTGTAAAGACTTTCGTTATGCGATACTTTGTGTGACTGTAGTGGCTTCATCTCTCCCCTGGAAGTTTTGTATTCTTGGATTGCTGCCTATTTACTGACCTCAGTGATGGAGTTGATAGAGCAATGTATGTTTCTCAGGATTCAGGAGCTTTCTTTTTCCACTGAGATGAGTATTACCCACCCATTCTACTCAGAAGATTGTGATAAGGATCAATCTTTTTTTTTTTAAGGAAGTTTTTGAGATAAGGTCTCTCTATTAAGTAGCTCTAACTGGTACTATGCAGACCAGACTGACCTCAAACTCACAGAGATGTGCTTGCCTCTGCCTTCCAAGTGCAGAGATTAAAGGTGTGTGCCACCGCACCTGGCTTGTATAATATTACTTATATGTACGTTTTCAGGGTGTTACTATTTAGTATGACATGACCAGTTGATGTGCCCCTTTTGGAGGAGGACTATTTCTCCTTCTCTCTAGCGTTCTACCACACTCAGCAGGATCAGTCTTGTGAAATGGTTTTAAAACGCTGAACAGTGGTCATATGGTACCAATTCGTTTCTCTCTGAATTCCAAGTAATTCTGATCATCACACACTCAGTTCCCTTTCAAAATGTCCAAGGAGCAATATGCTGTCAGTTGAGAAAAATTAACTGGATCTTCAGTTCTTCCTGTTTCAAGTGACTGTATATTTGGGATTATCACATGTCCTGTGATACCAATCCATAATCTACGTATTTCTCATTAAAAGTTACATTAAGTTGCTTATGCTTAATCTGAACAAAAACTGATAAGTACACTTTCAATTCTTAAAAAAATGAATTTTGCAGGGCCAGGGAGGTGGCACAGTGGGTAAAGTCACTTGCTGCCAAGCCTGATGACTTGCGTTCAGTTCCTGAAACACACATGATAGATGGGAAAACCCAGTTCCTGAAATTTGTCCTCTTGATGTCTGCATGCATGCTGTGACCCGTGTGTTCCCACATACATGCAAACAAAATAGATAAGTGTAATAACTCATTTTTAAAACGAAGTCTGTAAAGTGCCTCACTGTCTGAATCACAGGTATCATAGGAAACGGTGCCAGTCAACCTGCCTAAAAGTTGGTTCTATCTCAGCTCAAATCGGGAAGACTTACAGAAATGGCATTTTTTTAAAATGAATCTCAAATAATGGCTTACAGTCTTAACACAAGAGTGTATTTTCTGTGGCAGCCTGATCTTTAAACATTGGGCACTTGTCAGCTATGAGATAGATGTGTTTGGGCAGTATTGGAGGTGTGCATATTCCCTGTGTCCTGTGCAAGGACCCTGTACACTAACAGCAGCATCTCTATTTATTTATTTATTTATTTATTTATTTATTTATTTATTTTTTGGATTTTTGAGACAGGGTTTCTCTGTATAGCCCTGGCTGTCCTGGAACTCACTCTGTAGACCAGGCTAGCCTCGAACTCAGAAATCCGCCTGCCTCTGTCTCCCAAGTGCTGGGATTAAAGGCACCACCACTGCCCGGCTAGCATCTCTCTTTATAAGTGAGACTTTCTTAGGGTCAGTAACTTGTACATATCACACAGCCAATAAACAGCAAAGCCTTGGTTCATAGGCAGATTCCCTACCTCTGAATATTGTGTGTTTTCTATTATGTAAGGAGGCTTACAAGAGCACTGTTTGGATGTGAAGTTAAAATGATCGTGTGTAGACATTTTATATAAGTTAATATACTACCTTAAATTTTCTAAATTTTTCCTTTCAGATATTTTAATATCCCAATTCCAGGAAAATACTGGATAACGCCCTTGAAAACAAAAAAAGAAGAAATCATGAAGAAAAGTTTTAATTATTAAAACCATGGCTACATCTGCAAATTTGGACATTGGGGCCCAGCTGATCGTTGAAGAGTGTCCCAGCAGCTATAGTCTCTCTGGGATGCCAGACATCAAAATAGAGCACCAACTGGACCCGAACTCAGATGAAGGATCAGCTCAGGGTGTCGCCATGGGAATGAAATTCATATTGCCAAACCGATTTGATATGAACGTGTGTTCTCGATTTGTGAAGTCCTTAAATGAAGAGGATAGTAAAAATATTCAAGATCAAGTTAACTCTGACCTGGAGGTGGCGTCTGTCTTATTTAAAGGTTGAAAGTTATGGTACAACTCCCTCCATCCACTTTCATTTGGCTGATTCCATTCTGTCTTCTTTGAATCATGAGATTCAGAGTTGAGGAAAAGCTTGAAAGTCATCTTTTAAAAGGATTTTCTAGAATCTCACAGAAACCCACATTAAATTTCTGTTGATATTTTAAAATATTCCTTGTCTAAGCCAGATTTAGTGTCACATGCCTTTAGTTAGTCCCAACACTTGAGAGGCAGAGGCAGGTGAGTTCAAGGCTAGCCTAATCTCCATAGTGAGTTCCAGGCTATCCAGGGATACATAGTGAAACCCTATATAAATAAATAAATAAATAAATAAATAAATAAATAAATAAATCCTCATCTGATCTTTATTTACAATTTCCCCAATTGGATTTTTCCTAATTGTATCCTTTTAAATGATAGAAAAATATTCCTTTTCTTGTTCAAAACTAGTCTAATACTTCCTGTTTCATGACTAATTTACATCAGATAGTACTGTAATTCAGTGATCTGTCAGCATGCTGTAGTTGTAGTTACTTTGTAATGATCTATTGAATATTAAAACTAATAGCAAATCAAGATTAATAACTTTCTTTGTAGTACTTACACTGTAATAGTAGCGACTAATATAAGTAATAAATTACTACCACCTGATAAACACTTGTGACCTGAAGCTATTAAACCTCATACATTTTTCATTTGAACATTAACACGTTTATTATACTGCTCTGTCATTAAAATACTATTTTAATTTGTTTTATTTAGCTGAGTGCAATATCCATACATCTCCTTCTCCTGGAATTCAAGTAAGGCATGTCTACACACCCTCTACAACAAAACACTTCTCTCCTATAAAACAGTCAACTACTTTAACCAACAAGCACAGGGGGAACGAGGTCTCTACCACACCTCTGTTAGCAAATTGTAAGTATGCACTTAGAATGTATCAAAATACTAGTGTAAATAGCTAATGCCATTACAAATTAGGAGTTTATGTCTGAAATATTGGTTTTATTAAATAAATATTCTAGCTTTGAAAGCTTAAGAGATACATTAATCTTTTTAATAAGTTAAAACTTTTTCATGTGTTTTTCAGTGTTTGAAAGTTTCTTGTTATATCTTTATCAAAACAAATGGTTTAAAATATTATTAAAACCTTTATAGTTTTACCAAAAAGAAGTGAGTTACTGTTATTTTTTTTTTTTACAAATTAAGGTATCAGTGATTTTGTGTTCTTACAGTTTAATGTTTTACTTATATAGGAACATAATTATAAATATAAACTTACATATTAGTTCACTGATCAAGAAATTATTGTAGTAAAAGATAAGTAATTCCTACTGAAACATTTCGTTAGCATATAGTATAAACATGAAGCCACCCTTTAAAAAACTTTGAATGTAAAGTTTCTCTGCCTAAGTTAACAAATATTCAGTGAAGCATGAGTAT